GTACAGCGTATAACTAAACAGTGAACGCCATTTATAAGACTCACGGATATACGGTTCAGAATCGCCAGAAACAGCCCGGCCGTATCCGAATACATTAAAAAAAATTCGGTTATAGGACTCACCACTTCGGATATAAGACAGTTTTTTCCACCGTCACATATTCAAATTTGTTTTTGAAGGCTAACGACATCGCCAAGAAAATCAACATTCTCGACCTGGCCTCTTTACACCTGGCCAACGAAGCGTAAAATAACGTTAGTGATGTGACCATTCGAAACTGCTTTCGGAACGGAGGTTTTGTCAAAAGTTATGAAGAACTGGAGAAGGAGGAAGATAGCTGCCCTATTAAGAAGGCAGAAGACTTTACTGTGAAGAACTACAAGGATTGGATGGATATCAACCACAATCTTCAACCCTCTGATGTGTATTCTGAGTACCAAATCTGCCAGTGCGACATGAACGCCGCCAGCAGCAGCATCACATCGGATGCTAGGAACGATGATGATGTTGACTAGAAGAGACCGATGAATTCGAAGTTCTTCCTTCAAACTCAGTGGTTCTAAGGGCTGTAGGGGTGTACCTGTCCAGCAACACGGGACCAATTTTCAAAGCACTGCGATTATGAGAAGTATATTATTGAAATGATGGAAATTAACAAACAAAAAGTAACGAATATCATTAAACAATCTTAAATTTTGAATTGATTATGTATGTACATATTTGAAGACTTACCTTTATTTTATAGGTGATATATTTTATGACAAGCTATGTCTGTATGTATTGTCAGGAAAAATAATGTTTGTGTATTACATACATTCTAAAATCTTGTTTCCTTCATTTATAAGGTTCATCCGCTTATAAGACTTTTTGCTGGTCCCAAAGTGAGTCTTATAAGCGGCGTCACGTATTTAGCAATTCTTCTCATAAGTTTACAATCCGACGAATAACCGAAAGACTTTTTTTTATTAGGAGTCTCGATTTTAGCAATCTAACCTGGTGGTTTACAACCCTTTCCAATTGTCGTGCTACAATGTTTTTCCACTGTCGAAAAGTCAGGAGATGAGTGCTTAACGTTCCTACTCACGTCTCTTCTGCCAGAATCCTCAAACCACAACACACGATACACCCAACCAGACAATATCTTCTTCTACTTTGGGAAATCTAAATTGATAAATATTCAGCTTAATTAGGTGGCGTCTATTCAGGTTCAATGTAAAAAAGTAAAAATCAACGTCCCCGTCAACGTCAAACTAAGGGTGAAATTATGTTGTCCAAAACAAGAAGTTTTCTTATAAACCATCAACACTTGGGATTAAAACCAAAAATGTCACGGGGATAATTGATCAGATTACTACTAAGTGAAAGTGACATCTCGACCACTGTTGCCACAATAAATCAATTTGTATAATTTTATATTACACATATTTATAAAAAAAAGTTTAACCCTTAACAATGAAGAAATTAGTTTTCTATATTTAGATTTTATTTTTAATAATATCCTAATTGTGGGATGCCAAAAATTAAATATTAATTTGTTAAAACAATATAACGACAGTGTTGCATTCAAAAACGGTAACATTACTGACTAAACATCAGTGCAGCGATACAAGGCACATTGGATATTTTTCCCCTGTTGTGGCTGACGTTGATCAACGGACTTTGATTCAAAGCTCTCGAATTAGATTTCTCCCAAGTTATGCATGTAGGTGGTATATTTGCATATTGTTTCGACGGAGAGGAGTAAATCATTTCCAACGTAGCACAAGTCATCTTGTCACGGGGAAGAGCACTGAATTTGGGGAAAATTAATGACGCTTGAAGCGCGAAACTCCCTACTCACCCCGCAATATTTCTGGCCGTTCTTCCAATGCTGCCGTGAGTGACTGGGAATTTTCACCACATGAAAAACCAATTTATTCATACGAAAAACTGTAAAAACGTCATATAAATAAGAAATAAAAAAATGTTGATGATCCACTAGTGGAAGGATTAATTTTTAATGCCATACAGGAGTTCAAACCAAATATTTGCTCATAAATGTAAAATAAATATATTCAAACTGATTTTCCGTTGGATAAAAGCTAATAGTCGATGGTACCATAGTTACACCCTATGTGGCCGGGTCATCAGTGTAAAACCAATACCTTGATCTCTAACATTTCACGAAGGGACACGGCATTCATGAATATTTCCCTTATTTACTATTTAATTTTCATATTTTAAATCGATAAATCGATACTTTCCACTCTGGTATATATATATATATATATA